CCTTTGGGCTTTTGGAGAGCGTGGACCTTGGCATGAGGGGCAGGTAAAGTTTTGCCTGCTGCCTGCCTTCTCTGTGTGAGGCTGAACCTTCCCCTGGCTGCAATGCGATACTTGGGCGTGCTGGGAGCCCGCCAGGTTTTGGACGGAGCACTGAGTCAGAGCTCACAGCTGTAGTACAGAAATCGGGAGAACCTTCTCCAAGATCGTACCGCCTCTGAAGAGCTTTGTTGCAAATCAGGGGGCTTTGATTTGTACAAACCTCTGGAGTCTCAAGCAGTAGAAAGCCTAAACTTCTAGTAATCTTTGTCCAACGGGAACTGTTGGACTCTCCCTGTGGCTTTAGGGCAGTTGAGTCAAAGGCTGCAGGAGTCAAACCCTCAAAGGCTGCAGGAACTGGTGAGACTGGAACTTGGCAGCGTTCTCATTCTTGGTGATGGAGCGTGCCTCAAAGCCTGTTGGTGTAGACTGCTCCATGCCGAGCCCGGTGTAGACCTGCGCTCCCTGTCTAGGTGTCTTCTCCTCTGCTCCTGCCCATCATTGGGGCTTCTGCTGAGCACAGGGCTGCCTGCAGTGTGCGAAGGGTCTGGCTCCTGGCGCATGTGCCACGTGCTGTGACGGGACACGGCGGAGGCTCTTGCAAGTATGACCGTTGCCTGCAGACTAGCAGAGAAGCTGGAGGCGCTGCAGCCATCTCCTGCTGCACTGCGTAAATAAAGAGCCAGTCTCGTGGCTGGGCTTGTCTAGGCAGAAGAAGCAGAAAGGAAGGTAAAAAAGGCCTTTTTTTTTTTTTTTCTTTTTTTTCTAGAATAACTAGAAGACTTGCATCTATCGAGTTTCTGGTTAGGTGAGCATGTGGGCTAGCTCTTCACACTTGGCTTCTTATGCCACACACGAGGCTTGACTCCGTTTTAGCTACGTGCGTCTCCTGCCCCCGCCACCCGCTGATCTACAGGGACACAAGGGTGAAACGAGAGGCTTGACGGTTCCTGAGATTTGCAGTGCAAGTTCTGCTTTTCTCTGCTGTCAACTAGGGAAGTAAAACTCCAAAACGACTGAGCTTCCCAGAGAGTAGGTAGACTTCCAGCCAGAGGCTGATGGCTTTGTGTTCCTGTCGAGCCCTTTCAAGGTCGAACTGAGATTTTTTTTCTTTGGATATTTGAAGTCTCTAACTCCATGTAATAGTGCTGGGAATGGCCTTAGATGACCTAATGCGCACAGGGTTGGTCTATACATGAGGGTGCTGCCCTTTTTCAGGGAAGTGAGACCCCTGCAGGGTCCGAGTTAAGAAGGGGGAGGTTCTGGCAATATTAATCTGGATGCTGGAAACAAACATTAGCAAAAATTCTCCAAAAGAGCTTGTAATGTGACCGCTGCGATCTAATCCACGCCTGATGCAGGATATTGCCTTATTGACGTTACATCAGAGGCGTTCAATGTAATGCTATTAATTAAGTATATCAGAGCTTGCTGTTTAGCCTCCAGCTTGATTGAACTGACTTTGTGTTGGTATCCCGCAGCGTAAGGAAAAATCTAGTGTTTGGTTGGGCAGAACACGCTTACAGTGAAGGCACAGACCCATGTCCGCTTGACGAGTTGCTGTATGGGTTTCTGGATGGCCTTCAGCTGGAGAGGTTCACCTGTACAGCAGTATTCGCATAAGCGACGCGATGGTGACTGTGCAATCCAACGCTGGAGTGCCCCACGTGTCGCAGCAGATCGTGCAGAGACACCAGCTCACCCGTTGACAGCGCGGTGGGGCAGGCAAGTGGGCAGCAACGTCTTAGCTGTTGTGCCGAGACGTGGCAGGCAGGTTCTGGGCACACCAAGAGGTGGGGATGATGGCACTTCTCAAAGGCAGCTTAACCTGGGATACATCTTTTCCCCCTTCCAGTGACTCTCTAATTAAGGCAGCTAAGCGTACCCTTATTGTCCGATATCCAGTGTACTGCGCATCTCGCATTTTCTTCCTGCTGGGAATGCAAGTGCCAGATGGTTTTCTTTTCTTCCTCTCTCGGTTCAGTTGCAAACTGAAATATGTGCGGCACTGCAGCCTCTTCCCTCCCTGCTCCCAGTGCTGAGGGATGCGGTCCCGGTCTCCAGCTCTGTTACACCTTTGCATTTCTCTGCGGTGCATCGCTGCAGTGCTCTGCCTTACTGGCAGCCTGGGTACTGCTGGAGAGGAGTTACATGGTTAACGAGGCTCCTTTTCTGCTTTGGTAAGTTCCCCACCAGCTCCCTGGAGGAATCTGCTTTCTCCACAGGTGTACCTTCCATCTGTCAGCGAGTTTGTTGAAAGGATTTTGACAGGCAACTTTCTTCCGTAATCCTTAATAGCTTCAGATTTAAAATGTTTATGGCAAAGCTAATCCTACGAAACTCCCTGTAGTTTTAATAAATCTGTCCTCCAGCAAGACTCGTCTGGTGAGAGGAGGTAAATCTACTTTTTTCTGCAGTGATAAATATCTGCAGACTTGGCTGTGGGGCAGCTTTGAAGTCACCTGCTTGGTCCACACTTAAAAGTGGTGTCTGTGCTCAGAGGGCGTCTCGCTAAAAACAAGACCTCATGTGGTTATCAGCCTTCATAACCACTGTCAGGACAGAAAACTATTGGAGTCAGGGAGTCTCTTGTAGTATGGCTGTCGATGTTGGACACTCCATTTGCAGGTGGAAGGGAAGAGAGCAAGTCAGGCTGGGATTTCCAGATGTTTCTCATCCCAATTCCCTTACTCAAAGCAGGGCAACTTAGATGGGACAAGACCCCGAGTAACCTGATCAAGTTTCAAATATCTCTAAGGATAGACAATCCGTAAGCTCTAGAGCAGGGGGACGCCTTCATTGTGCTTCGGTGTCTCTCAAAGATGCCTTTCACCTCACAGTGTCTTTCAATTTATGTTTGCGCAGGTGTCACTCAGAGGAAAGAATGAATGGAGTCATCTCAAAGGTGCTAAATCCCGTAAAAATCCAGACCGCTAGAGACCCCTTAAGTTAGGGCAGCCTGGAAGCAGCGTATAAACAACTTGCTGGGGTATTTTAGCATGTTGCAGTGGGGCTGCGTGCAGGGCTGAGCCTCTGCCCCGGCGCAGCGTATCACACAAACCCCGGGGCTGTGTGGATAAACAGCTGCCGTTAGCCTGGCTGGGAGAGGTGGGATGGGGGTTAGTCTGGTGGCACTGGGAGCTGCTGGACGGCCCGGGCATCACGCACCCTGCTTACCTTGGGGCGTGAAAGCTGGGAGCTGCCTTGGCATGCAGCCCCGTGCACCTTGTCCTGTATCGGCAGCGACTGCTGATAGAGACGGGAGATTCTGCCCTCTTTACCGTGCCGCCCATTTCCCTGGTCCCTCAGCCTTCTCTTACCCTTGACACAGAAGGCAGTCGTGCCTGGTTAGCACAGTAAGACCCACTTCTGTACGGAGGTGGGGGTTTGCTGCTTCTCCTGCCGGGCTGTAGAGCATCTCGTGGAGCAGCGCGGGTCTGCACGGTAGTGGGAAGCGGGAGCGGAGGCTCTTCTTGCTGCCTCTGCTTCAAGGAAAGGAGGAGAGGGGGTCCGGATCAGAGACCAGAGCACTCTGTTTTGCTGCGTGGGAAACTAAGGCTTAGGTGTAGCTTGGTTTTGGGAGAAAACATTAGCCAGACGGCAGTTGAGGAGATGTGCAGGCAGGAGTGGATGTTGCTGGGATGAGCAGGTCAATATATATAAGCGAGGGTGAGTCATTCCAGGCCACTCAAATGAAGTCATGGGGTGGACCATCCTACACCTTCCAGCGTGAGCCGTTGGCCTCCTGATCACCGCCATAAATGTGGTTATCTGGGCCCAGAACAAACCTTGTCCTCGCAAACGCTTGTGAAAATGACTCAGTATTTGCAGAAGCCTTTCACACACAAACCATTACCTAATCCTTGTGAGAAGTGACTGCCCGGAGGAGGCTTAGGATGTGCATGCCGTGGGGCGGTGAGCCCCTGGAGGAAGGGGACAACAGGGATATCCAGGCTCAAAGTGCCACTTGGCGGCTGTGACTACCCCAGCTGGGCGGCTGTCGCAGCATCCTGGGCTGCTGCACCCGCTCCGAGGGAACGGAGACCCACGTACGGAGCACGGCGTGGAGTCAAGGAGGGACGTGAGCCCTTCCCGAGCAGCCTGCTGTGTGTGCCCCGAAGGCAGGGCAGCCGGTGCAGCAGTTGGCCGGCTGCCTCGCCGTTGCCGGAGGTGCTGCCCCGCCGGCTTCAGCCAGCTCCAGGGTTGCAGGAGCTGGGATGAGATTATTGCAATATCAAGCGTGACGCTTCCCAGTAACTGAACTGGCCAAGGCGGCACTTGGCAGCCGGCTCGTGAAACGGCTCTTGTGCTCCGTCATCTCCTTAATCCCTCTGTTGCCGTGGCACGTGAGGCAGGTAGAAGTGGTGCTGTGCGTTAACACCGTTATCCTCAATGAAGAAAATCCTGTGTGGGAAGAACACACTCTTACCATGTGAGCATTTGAATCCTTATCTGTGCAGATGCCGTAGGCAGCTGTAATTTTAACATCTAACGTATTCTTTAGGCATCTCAGAAGCGTGCCCTGTGCTTACGGGAAACGGAATGATGAACACCCCGTAGCTATGGTGGTGTTAATCCATGCGGCTAGCTCGTAACCCTAGACCATCTCCACCCTCTTGCTTTGACTGTCCGTCTTGCCTGCATCACAAAGGCTGACTCTTACCCCGCAGGTGAAAGGTGTCTCTTTCCTAGAGAATTTTTCTGGTTCTGGAAAACATTGATCTTCTAAGAGATGGAGAATACCTCAAATGAAACCCAAGCTGCCCCTTTTGCTGGGGGACCGGACCGTGGCCTGATTTCCCAGCCAGCTCCCTCTTGGATGGGAGTGGATGCCAGATGCCTTTGCGAGCTGGCTGCCTTCTCCTGCATCTCGCTGGAGATGCAGGGGTACAGCCGGACGTGTGATGGGAACGTCAAGTGACTGGGGCTTAACCCAAGTGTCTCTCTTCTCTCTCCCTCTCTCAATGCAGGTGACAGAGCTGAACGAGCCTCTGTCCAACGAAGAGAGGAACCTGCTGTCCGTCGCCTACAAAAATGTGGTGGGGGCGCGGCGCTCCTCTTGGCGAGTAATTAGCAGCATCGAGCAAAAGACCTCTGCCGATGGAAACGAGAAGAAGATAGAAATGGTCCGGGCCTATCGTGAGAAGATCGAGAAGGAGTTGGAAGCGGTGTGCCAGGATGTGCTGAGCCTGCTGGACAACTACCTGATCAAGAACTGCAGCGAGACGCAGTACGAGAGCAAAGTCTTCTACCTGAAGATGAAAGGGGACTATTACCGCTACCTGGCCGAAGTGGCCACCGGTGAGAAGAGGGCGACCGTGGTGGAGTCTTCGGAGAAAGCCTATAGCGAAGCCCATGAGATCAGCAAGGAGCACATGCAGCCGACCCATCCCATCCGGCTCGGTCTGGCGCTTAACTACTCGGTTTTCTACTACGAGATCCAGAACGCGCCGGAGCAGGCCTGCCACCTGGCCAAGACGGCCTTCGACGACGCCATTGCCGAGCTGGACACCCTCAACGAGGACTCCTACAAGGACTCAACGCTCATCATGCAGCTCCTCCGCGACAACCTAACGCTCTGGACGAGCGATCAGCAAGATGACGACGGTGGAGAAGGCAACAACTAGACCCCCCCGATGGACTGGCAGCCGCACGCTGATGCTAACTACTGCAGTCTTTATTTTTTTCCCACGGGTGGGGGGGGGGTCAGGGGTGGGGGAGGGAAAGGGAGGGGACACCTTCCCAGGGAGGCCCCCCACAACCTGTCTTTGATTGCCTCGTTGACATTTTTGCCAAAACACCACTAGTGGAAGTCAGGCTGGCTGTGCTGGTATGGAATAGCAGCCTCACTGGCATATGGACTGTTCTGTAGATTATTAATACAAGTGGAGCTGTCTTTAATTTAACTTTATCGCTAGAAATAAAAGGGTTTTAAGATGAATTTGCGTGGATGGAATGGCCCTCGTTTTTAAGGAAAGCAACGCAAAAAAAAAAAAAAAAAACCAAAAAAAAAAAAAGGGAGTTCTGTGGTTCCAGTAAGGCTTCGTGCGTTTTGTTTCTTCAGTCCAAGTGCCGTGTGTCCGTACCACGTCGCGGGGCCTCTCTCTGCAGCGCTCTGCCTCGCAGGGCGTAGCTTAAAAATCCCCAAATTGAGAAGGAATTTAAAAAAAAAAAAACAACAAAAAAACACAACCAACCAACCAAACTAAAGAATTTGGGGCTTGTAAAGCCCCAGGATTTAGGCCATCCAATCTTTTTTCTTTTTTTTTTTTCCTTTTTTCTTTTGGTTAAGATATTTATTAGGGTAGCTTACAGTATTAACACTAAATTGCAGTTTACAGTATTTCTACATTACAGCCATATGACATCAAGCCTTTGATTGTCTGTTGTTTTTGTGGGTTTTTTTTTTTTCTTTTGCTAGTTCTTTTGGCTTGCCTTCCTGATCAGTCCTCGCCTGTGGACTGGCTTTAGCTATTCTGTGTCGCCCAAGGCAAGAAGACCGCCCGCCCGAGGAACATCAAAGCTGCTCTAGTTTTTTGGTCAACAGCTTAACAGGTGCTTGGCTAGCGGCTGTTTCAACTATTTTAAGTCCACAGCAAAAGGTTTAAGAACTTAATTAGACAAGGGGGAAGTGTTTAAACTTAAAATGCCACTTAAATAATAAAAAAATAATAATAATAAAAAAAAAAATAATAAAAAAAAAGAGCATTCAGGTCTGTATGTCATGTACTGTGTTTGGTATTTCAAAAGACCATCCTGATTTAAGGTGCCACAGCTGCTTCCTCAGGGATTGCACTGCCATTTCACTCTGCCTGACTTTCTCCCACTGTACCATGAGGTTTGTCAGCAGATCTCCGGCACCCAGGCTCCCTTGTTTGTCACCAGGGAAGCCGGGTGCATTTTCCTTTCTCCTGGGGAAGCTTGTGGTGTAATGAGTGAACTTCAGGTGCTTAGAAACTAATTTGGTAGAGAAATCCTCAAGGGAAGAGCTACAATCATAGACATTTCTATCAACCATCGGGAGCCCAGGAACTTAGTTCTCTTCTTAGCAAAATCTTTTCCAAGTCTGTCTGATCCGGCAGGGGGTGGGAGACGGGGCGTCTGAGTTGCTTAGCAGGTAATATTTACCCCATTTTTGAGCAAATTTATTTCTAGTTTTAATTTTAACATTGTTGTTGGAAGTTCACTGCTGTTCTCCGGCTCGCGGAGTGCTGTGCCACGTAGCTTTTCACCTGAAGCTGCGCAGTAAGGAAAAATCGCACTCGTGCATTTATATTTTTCTTTTTATTATTTTTTATCTTTTTTTGTTTTGTTTTTTGGAAACAGGCTTTCATTGTCCCTTTCGAGAGTCAGTCCGCAAACAGCGTGTCGTGGTGTTGCACACACGGTACGGCCGTTCCTGCTGTCGGGTTGCACGGGGAGACGTGGCTCCAGCTCCCTCCCTGCAGTCAAACGAAGCCGCTACCCCGACTCCTCGGGGAGCGAGCGGACCCGAGGCTGTTTGGCCTCCAGATATTGCCCCGGCGATGCCGGCAGAGCATTTTTTTTTAACCGGGATGCCTTCGCACGCGGAGTCTTGCCCAGCCTCGCTAGCGGCGAGCGAGCAAGCGCATCCGCCGGGTGTACGGTGTGCAGCATCCCGCGGCGAGATGCTCGCCGTGCCGGTACGTGCCGTGGACTGGAAGATCGCTTTAGGCTTCTTACCTTCCTTTGGTTGACCCTCGTGTCCCGTGAGCGGTGTTGTCCCAGCTGTATAATTTGGAAGTGATTTACTGGAATTACAAAACCTATCTTTTTTTTTTTTTTTTTTTTTTTTTTCTTCCCCTCCCTGTTTCTTTTTGGCTTTTGCTCTGGCTGCTTTAGGAAACTTACGCAGGAGAGATGGCACAAGAGGGCTAAAAACGGAGTGGGGGTCAGGGACTTGATTTTTAAGCAGCTTGAATGGTTTCTTTTGTTTTTTAAGAGATGCACTTGCCTATGATACTGTCTCTCCAGTGAAATGATTACTGCTCCATTACTCTATTGATACAATATTGTGCATGCTAGTGTCGTATTTCTATACAGTAGCTTGAAATTTATTAACTTATACTGTAGATGTTATGTATTCCTATGACAAAATAGTCTTCAAAAATTTTTTAAAGTTTTTTAATTTATTTTTTTTCTTTTGGGGGTAAAGTTTGCTCTACCAAATAGTGATCGTAACAAACTGATCTGTTATGGATGTTGCTATAGTGACATGCAATTATATATGATTTTGTTTTTAAAAAGGAAAAAAAAGCAAAAGAAAACACCAGTGTTAGCTTAATCTTAATGTCTGGTGTTCGTCATGGTGAAATTATAACTATTACAGTGTAGGAGAACAATGACTGTGTTCTTTGAATGAGCCTTTGTTTGTGCTTTTTGTCATGTTATGCAGTGAACTATTTTTAAGGTCTAATCAGTGATTATTTTTCCAACTCCGTGTTTCTGTAAGGAATTATTTCACACACGGACCATTCTTAGCAGTTTTTCCTCAGTGATGGAATATCATGAATGTGAGTCATTATGTAGCCGTCGTACATTGAGCAAATAAACTTACAGATCTGACATCAGCGCTGCTTAATTGTTATCGCCTGTGTTGAGTTTCGGGGCGGG